GCGGTTACTACAACCAACATTCGTAATAAATTTCAAGACTTAACAAATTTTTTTGCTAACTCGTATTCATAAGTTTTTTGCCTATAATTTAGATTATTACTAACAGTATATCGGGATTTTTGCTTAAAACTGTTTAAGCATGGTCCCTTTTCAAAAGTCTTTCAACTGTTACCCTGATTTCGCAAGGTAATCTTTTATATTTTTGTTACGTATATATGCTATAATAGGCACTTGGGAAAAAAATTCACTGCATTGTTTGTATTTTTGCAGATTGTTCCAATGTTTTCTTATATTATTTTAATAAAGTTTTTCACCATTTGGTTATATTTTGTAATGAAAGTAAGTGGGAATTTTTCTTGTTCTATTGGTCTTTAATATCGTAGTTTTCTATTAGTTGTATTTTTAATGTTTTTTATAAAACATTTAGCGCCAAATTGAAGGACTAAAAAGTTCTGTCCCCTAGTTGTTTTAAGCTTGTAATAGATTCAGATTAAATGCTAATTAGATATGTGCGCATAACAAGTGCGCACAAATCTCAGTGTGTAATTTTAAATTCTCAGTGTGTAATTTTCAATTCTCAGTGTGTTTTTTTCATTTTTTGTAATCTCAGTGCGTTTTTATGAAATCTCAGTGTGTAATTTTTAATTCTCAGTGTGTGTTTTTAGGTTTTTTAATCTCAGTGTGTTTTATTTAATTCTCATTGTGTAATTTTCAATTCTCAGTGTGTAATTTTCAATTCTCAGTGTGTAATTTTCAATTCTCAGTGTGTTTTTTTCATTTTTTGTAATCTCAGTGCGTTTTTATGAAATCTCAGTGTGTAATTTTTAATTCTCAGTGTGTGTTTTTAGGTTTTTTAATCTCAGTGTGTTTTTTTTAATTCTCAGTGTGTAATTTTTTCGAAAATTGGTTTAAACATAGTTTTGACGAGAACGACTTGCCATAGTCCTCATCACGCTCTTCTTACGACCTATCTACGTTCATACTACGACCATTTCAAGTTCTAGTCATGCTCATTGTTATTGTCACATAAAATATATAAAAGCTCTCCAGGTTTTGTTTGAAACATCAATTTCAATTGAACCATGGAAACTCAGGACCATGTACATGTAGTAATGCTTCTACAATCATTGACACAGATACAAAATCTTAACGACTAGGCCATGATATTGTTATTGAGAGAGCGAAGAAGTATAAGAAGAACTTTTAGACGGCGTAGGTCCTGTTGGGTTCGTCCTTGGTTATCAACCGAAAGGAGACTCCAGTTTGGTCAGTATGATCAGTTGATGAACGAGTTACGAATCGAGGATGAACGTTCCTTCTTTAATTTTTTAAAGGTTGATATTGTTATGATATTGTGACAATCATATTTATTTAGTTGGCCTTATTTGTTCTGTGTGGCCTTATAGTTGTTTACAAAATGATATTGTAACTGTGCAGTTTAGAAATCACTGGAACAATCATAGAGACTGGTGGAATGATTAGAACTTTCTATTTTACTTACATAACGATTCCAGAATGATCATAATAAAATATGCGTAATTTAAACTTCTTACACTGTTCTAGAAGATTCCGTTCTACAGTTTTCTAGGAGTTTTACTTCTACAGTGTAGAAATTTCCGTGACAACTATATAATAAATTATATATACAGACACCAAAGTTAAACATTCAGACATAGACATAATATTCTCAGAAGTTCTCTCAATTGGATTGACACTTTTATTTACGAACAACATCATACTAGATTGTGACCTATTGGACGTAATATTTTGTTTGGCTTCCCGAAAAGAATTCCAGATAAAGAAAAGACAAAAGATCGGACATATATTTTAACAGTTAAGTTGACATTTCTATTTGTGAAATACTTCTTGTAAACTTGTGTATAATAAATCTTGTTAAATTTTATTATTGATTTGTGTCTTTTGTTGGCTACAATTTAAATGTGATTTCTGGCCGTAATAATATGATCAATATATACCTAGCAGTTACATAAGATACTGAACAAAATGTCAATTGAAAGTAAATCAGTCTTTGCCAGGTCAGCTGGTATCAATGATTTTTAGAACTATAAATTCTATAATGATTTGAATGTGATAACATGCAATTAAAAAGAAATGTTATGGATTCAGTGTCAGTCTTATTGTTTAAAAACAAACAAAGAATGCTAAAATTTTGTGTAATTTACATTGAAAAAATGATTTTGATGGCTTTTCCTGGTTAAAAATTTCTAACAAATTATTTTGTCATCACCTTTTCAAACCTGAATTGACCAAGCTCTTTTAATTTTGAAGATAATAGGACATTACAGTATTTCATTTGACTAATGTTGGGATTTGTGTTCTTCTAATTTAACAGCCTCCATATCAGGTATATGTATCATTGGACCAAAATACTGATTAACTGGCATATATACACACAAATGAATGTTCATGGGTAGCATGTAAGATTTCCAACAAAATTACATTTGCAGCAATATGCTGATACAGCACATTTCTGTGCAAAATGTCCCCACTTATATTTCATTATAATGATTAAAGTACAAATAAAAGCAGGTGATAGATATACTCAAGGAAACAGCAACTTAAAGACAAAACAAATACCATAAACGACATCTAGAGGGCAACATAGAGATTACAAGATATAAAAATAAGGAGATGTGGTATAATTGCCTATATATACAATTTGTCAAGCTTACCAGGGATCTTGCAAGTTTCAGCTATTGTCTTGATGTGCTGTATTTTATCATGATAAGCTCTTATTTTAGTTGTCATTGTTTATTGTGTAGTTTCCTTAATGCATATAATCAATTAATTGTCTTTTTATGAGATTATTAAGGGGTTGTGCCTTATTCCTTTTGGTCATTTTCAGAAGCCTTTGTTCAATTATGAGGTAAAATATTTTTCAAGTTTACAAGAAATCATTACTCTTAGACCTTTTACAATGAATTGGATCAATCCTCCTTGCTATTAGTAGTTTCAAATTGTAGAGTTTTGATTTTGAATACAAACCGTCTTTTTTCATTTGTATAATAGAGCTTTCCATGACTGCTTTTAGTACTTTTGTTATTGTTTTCATTATAATTTTGCTTATATAAATCACTTGTTTTGATAATAATTGCACCCTAAATATTGGCTTTGTGTTGAGAAAATGATTTTATTACATGATAAAATGTATAAAATACTATTAAAATAGCCGTACAGTAATATATACTGAATATATTTCTAAATATTTGCCGTGGATGGATTTTTTATATTGCTTTAACCTATCATAGTAGTTCATTTAAATATATTCATCTTTTAATTACAGCTTCACCTTTTCGATATTTTAGCATTTCTTCTGGTCCTAAATTGGGTAAAATAGCCAATTCCTCAAATACCAGTTTTATAAATACAGAAGCCCTACTAAAAAAAATGAAATATATATTTATTATTTTGCCTTTTTATTTCCTGAATAATGCTTTATGACACGAGTTGGTCAAAAAAAGATATTTATCTTGCTATAATTGATTATTTGTTGGATAAAAATGCTTTAAAAAACCTTAAATTTGGCACTTTTCCCGTTAAAAAAGGGTGAAAATAGATGGCGCTGCAAAACTCGGCTATCTGATAAAATTTAAGCAAAAAATTTTACAAGTGAAACTGGCATGGCCAAAGTGTTGTGTGTACCAAATTTCACGATATTCTGTGGGATTCACTCCTGGACACTTTTACATAGTTTTCTGTGATACAAGCTCTTAAGTACACATTAAATATTGAAAACAAAACAAACAGGGCCTTGGTGGCCGAGTGGTCTGAGTAATGAAATGTTTCATGTCGGATAATTACACTTGTCCGGTGTAAACATTCTAGAGAAGATTTAGAACAAATGTTATTCATTATGTCAATCTGTCACACTTCACTGATTTTCTGAAAGAACGGTTTTTAATTCTTATTTCGCAAATTTCATTATGAGTATAGAAAGATTAAGTATCTATAAAAGATGAAATTTTGTATTAGCTTAACTCAATTCAGTTAACTATTTTAAAACATTGTTAGAAAAATACATCTCTCACTTTTTTTATTTTTTAAATCTGAGAAAAAGAACATTTCTAATTAGAAAAATATTTTATATCAAACAATCCTGTTATTAATATAACAGATAATCATGCAGAAATTCTAAACTGTATAATTGAATTATCATATTTAAACTGTTGTTGACCTGCTTTTGATATTGTTTTAGTTGACTACATGTAACTGTTTGTTTGTGACACCAGGTACTGTTTGGTGAATTTTTATTGCATATATTTAAATAACATTTAATGAAGAGAAAAAGTAGTCCAACAACTATATCACTAGCCTGTCAACACCGAGGTTGTGAGTTCGAATCCTGCACGTGGCAGGTGCACTTGACTTAAATCTTAATTGACTAGGAATTTTTTTGTACATAAATTAGGCCGTTAGTTTTCTCGTTTGAATTGTTTTACATTTGTAATTTCGGGGCCTTTTATAGCTCACTATGCAGTATGGGCTTTGCTCATTGTTGAAGGCCGTACGGTGACCTATAGTTGTTAATTTCTTTGTCATTTGGTCTCTTGTGAAGAGTTGTCTCATTGGCAATCTAACAACATCTTCTTTTTTTATAGGATTGTCAGTTTTCCTACCGAAGGCACTCCGGCTGCCTCCACCAATAAAAACTGATCGCCACGAAATCTCACAATAGTGCCGAAGTGGCATTAAACACCAATCAATCTATCAAAACAAATCCACAAAAAACAATGGTACATGTCCTCAAGGATTTGTATAGTGAGAAGGATTGGAATCTCGTGGACTATTTGCATTGCCTGTATTGAAATAAGCTGCGTATGATGAGATTTTGCGAGATTTACCGTGATGCATCTCGTTAGTCGTTTTTCGTCCATCATTACAAGTTGAATTTATGTCATTTCCAGATAAACTCGGCGTTTTGTAAGTATACTATAACAAAATTACATGATGTGATACTTTTAATTGTAAGTGTATGACAGTTCTGATTCAAAAAACAGTTTATATCTTTACAAAACACATTGTCTGCATCTAAATATACTATGCATTTTATCTATTGGTCATCGTAATAATCCCGCCCAAATAGGCGGTCCAAACCACAACTTTAATCTCAATCTCCTCCTTCATAATACGGAATTGTGTTCAGAAACTTGAATTATATGAAATAAATGTGTGTGGTGCGTGCATATTATAAACTATATAGTGTAAGGAGCTTTCGTTGTTGTTATTTTAATGGTTATTTCAGACCAACCGTCAAAAATCGTCCCGCGTCAGTGCAAAAAAGGGTGGACTGATAAAATATCAATAAAGTGCCACAATCGGTCGATTTCAACACTAAAACGTAATTATATCAATTTATCATAGTTTATTTGTTGTACTTTCTAAAACATTTGGCTTGCAAAATGATAACGTGTGATATTATCATATTTTCAAAATACCGCTACGGTTACTAGATGCATCCAAAAGTCGTTATAATGGGCGGGACCAAATTAACATAAATAAACTTCCTGTAGTACCTCGAACGTGATGAAAAATGTTTACAGTAGAATACATAGTTTGCATCTGTCGTTTCATGGACATTTACACCAAAAGGTATTGCTTTTTCCTTTAGAATTGATATGAAAATGTACTCGGAAATTCCTTTATGCCTTCAAGGGTTTACAGAACCCTGCTTACGTTCACCACATCAACTGAGTATATCATACATTCATACTGCACATAGGCTACTGTACTGTCATAGGTGATAGCATATTTTGGCAGTAGTATAAAGTGAAAATATAGGGACACTATTAATTTACAAGTTAAAGGCGTGTTCTTATTATCATATATTAAGACTGTCTATCTCTCCAATTTTTTGGTATACCTCAGGCCTGTACCAAAGATAACAGGAGATAGTTACATTTGTATATGTATATATATGTGCTTAAAAGTGTGGGGGATAAGGGTACGATTTCAGTGCGACTAATTCAGTTAATGAAATAAAAAATATATATTGCCGTCTTCAGGATAAACCACAACCAGACCAGTATAATTTTTCTAACTGCCCAAATGAATAAAAAGAAATTTTATGAAAGACTATTTTTCAGGCTTTGTTGTCAAAAAGTGTTCCACAATACACAAAATTTCTTAACACTCATAAACAAAAACCAAAAAGAAAAGAACGGTCCATTCACATGTACATGTATGGATAATTTGAAAGTAAAATTAGGCACTTCATCAAGGAGCAGTTATAAACTCAGCTCACTACTAAAAACTCTTCATACATGTATTGTCAGGACTCTTGGGCGTCTGGGTTCATCATTTGAAATATAAAGAAATACCAAAATAGTCAAAAAGTTTATGTTGTCATGGTCAAACATTTGATATTCTTGGGATGGCTACATGTCTACTAAAGTACATAATTAATCCTTGTTACCCCAATACAATCAACCGGTTATGTACTTGTATAGGATGCATAATGTGCCAATGCGGACTTTAAAATTCTGAACTTTTTCTGACCAGACTCCATATTCTACATAAATTCATGTCTTGTATTTTATTATTTTTGCGATGTATTATGAACTGTGTTACTTTGTTAATGTTCATATATATATATATATATGTATACCATAAAACCCACGATAACTGGATTAATTTCAATAAAATACATATCCCAGCATTATTATAGTGAACATGTAAATTACATCTGTTTACATGGTTTAAACAGTAACAGATTATACATAACCCAGCAGTGACGAGTGCCCAATTATTCGTTTTTAAATTACTGCAAAATTCTCTAAATGTTATTTGATAAAAAATAATTATTTAGCTTTTATATATGGACAGCTAGGAGAGTAGCTTACTCTTGATACATAAGTAATAAAATTTCAGTTACTGTGTATAATTGTTTAACATCATATTCGCATTAAGTTTTTTACTTTCAGACATTGTCAGATATAAAAGATATTTTGTGTTCTAATAGTACTTCTCTCTGAAGACAATAGTTGGTTATGGCTGTGGATAATAATCAGGTAACTACATTATTAAATATATAAAATAATACTGATACCAGAATTACTTTAAAATCATTATATTCAGAATTTGTGCAAGAATCATACCAGTGTGCCAAATCTCTTAATATTTTTTACAGAAATTCTTAGTTGAATTCTAGCCAGCTCTGACAGCTTTCAGCACTAGTACTAGTACTGCCACAAAATGTAATTTTTAGATTCTTATTCGTTTTTAATTTGTAGTAGGCAGGTGTATTTTGTTTTACATGTAATGTTTTATTGTTTTTGCTTTGAAATTAAATGGATTAATATTATAATTTTACAATATGGAAAATGTCAGGGAAACCCTAATTATATTTTATGTATTTTAGTCTTACAAAAAAAAATGTTTGTTATTTTCAGGATACCAAATTTAAAGAAAGGAGATATATTTCTTTGTGGTGAAAGTGCAAGAAATAACACCATATTCTGACTTACAAAATGATCACTCATACTGCATGCAATACAGGGAAAGGCATCAAACCAAGCCTCTAGAAGACATACATTTGTAGAATGTATTTTCTATGATGTACACGTCGCAGAGGATACTTTATGTTCCAAAAATTCAAATACAAATTGTGTCAGCTCCTGTGACAAACTTAAGATGGAAGTTAACCAGAGTATGAAATCACCATTATCAATATGTAAAATCCAACCAGTGACTATATATTTATTCAAATAGTGTCATGAATGGAATTAAAAAAGGACTTGGAAAATTAACATGTTTTAATATTGCTTTGTGTGTTAATAAAATTTGTCAGCAAGAACAAACTTCTTTTATTACAAGACATCCAGAATACATGTCTTCATACATGTCATAGCAGGTACCAGCATTTCTGTGGTTTGGTGTTCCCAGATAGTTTAGTTTGTAACAATGTTCCATTTTTTGGTCTTTCATGCTTGGTTCGTAAGGAATGTAAAAAAATATTTCATGTGGGTATAAAAATAAGGAGATGTGGTACGATTGCTATTAAGACAACTATCAGGAGATCAAAGGACAAGGATGTAAACGAAGACAGGTCAGTGTTCACTAAGATAGGTTTTCTAGGTACAATGTAGGTACTTTTTGAAAGTGGATAACCAATGGATTTATTGGGTCAATGGGATGAAGGTGGGGTGATGTGGGAATGACTATTTTAGCTTGGTGAGAATTAGTAGAAGAAATAATGTTGCCCGTTCAAGATGAAAATGAATACGCTGCTGCATTTCTGCCTCACATTAAGCATAAAAAATTATGTAAAAAAGTGAAAATGAAGCTATGTGACATAAACAATCTGAGCAACAGATAAAAATGAAATAATATTGACTATTTGTGAATAATCTGTCCAAGAGAAATCCTCCTGCCTTATCCCCTAAAAATGAAATGATTGTCCACTTATATATGCTCTTAATGCTAATAAAAAATGTCAAATCTTTACCAATATAAAATTAAGGAGATGTATGAATGCCAATGAGACAACTATCCATCAAATTCAAATGAAGTGGATGTAAGCAATTATAGGCAACTGTACAGCCTTCAACAATGAGAAAAACCCATATTGTATAGTTGTCTCTAAAAGGCCACAACGTGAAAAATGTGAAACAAATTATGAGTAGGGTGTATGACACAATAAGCAGATAACCCATCAAAGTTATTCGTGAAATGCTATTAGCTGCTTGTGTTACTAATGTTTTTCACAAGGGATATTTACTTGTACTTGCCATGGGTACAACCATTGATTTTAGGATATGAATGATACATTCATTGTTGAAGACCCTACATCAACTGTCAAGATGAAGAACAGGAATAAAAGCCATGTTCATTGATAATTTTCTATGTTTTCTATGTATTGGGTGCGATTTAGTCCCATGTACATGTACATTTACTCCATATCATTTCAGTTTCTATTTTACTGTTGTTTATAATCATGAACTTATTTTTAACTTCCTGCCAGTCCTTCAATGAACTCAAACCTCTATAGTTCCAGTTACAACTCATTTATTTGCAGTTTGAACAGACGAGAATTCTTGAAAATCAATGAATTCATTTAATTTCTCATTTGTTGCGGACCTTACATTTGTACATGTTTATTGATTCTGTTAAATTTATTCATAACTTAACTATGATAAAAAATCAACATACAGATATTGTATGGAGACTGACTATTCTAGAAGACTGTATGATTTCCTCTAACTGTCAACATGGTCAATGCTCTTGTGGTAGTTGGGTCAGTTTCATATACTAGAAGAAAGGACAAAGACAAGCTGCGAAAAATAAATAATTGTTTTGACCTTCTCTTTGGGGTTATCTTAAACAGCTATTACAAGTACATGTATCATAAAGATGTGTTGGGCTACTCACATTACGATCACAAGAAAAACAACAAATAATTACGATAATTTTCGGCAACTGCCAAATGTAAACGACTATCAAAGTTCATTTTCCAGCTTGAGAGAGGTCCTCAATATGACATACTGAGAAGGAATCGTGATATCTTTGCGAATTAAAACAAAATATTGATCAAAGATGCTAAAACAAACTAAACCTAACAACAAAGAACAAGTCAGAAATGATTATCTTGCAATACACGCTGTTCGACCGGATATTTACTAACAGGCGCGTATAAATTTATAGTGGCGAGTACGCAACATCTCACGATACGCGAGAAGTGTCGATATACCGCGAGATTCCAATCCTTCTCACTATACAAATCCTTGATGTCCTGTAAATAGATTAGGGAAACAAAAACTATATTTATTTGGCCAGTTTTAGGATAAGATCTTATTTGTGTGTTTATAAGCATTGTTTCACGATAGCGCTAACATGGGTAATATAGATACATTAGTATTTTATGGATTATGTGATTTGACGTTTCTTATATTCTGCATAACTTCCTTATCTAAGAAAAAAATACACGGTACACCTAGAATTATTTTACATGTATGTTAAACAAATTTCATTTCCACTATCTTTCACAAGCAGTCAAGACGGGTTATCATTTATCGGTGATTTCGAAAACAAAATGTCATTTATATGTGTTCAATTTTTGATCATACGTAAAGAAAAAAAATAATTATGAATATTTATACATATATCTGATTCGTTTCACAAATTTATTCAATTTCATTTATTTATTTTTTTTCCCCTTTAAATACTGACATTCGCTTCTTTATTTCAGATCCTGAAGCAGCGCTTTTAGGAAGAAAAAAAAATATATATTAAACGAAACAAAATCTGCGTCGAAGGATTTTTCCTGGTTTTAACTACACGCAACTATTATTCAGTTAATCAAACTTGTTATTTAAAAAACGTGTATTCTACATCGTGACGTAATTTCCACATTTCCGACGAAAGACATTTTAAATGAAGATTGTTTTTCCGTGTTTACTTATATCGAAAACATTTCTGATTTTCGTCTGAAGGAGAAGATATGATAAGCGCTATTATGAGTGTCTTAATATTGCAAATACAGCGAATTTCAAAACTATGTTATTTTTTGGAAAAATTAACAGGTTAATATAAACTGGGCACTTAAATGCAGAAAGGTGACATCTGATGTCACTATGGCGTCATAAATATGACCAAATTTAAGTATTGAGCTTAAAATAGCCATTTCACGCATCGATTATGGTTAAAACATATACGGCAACAACTTTACCAAACAGATACTTTACACACATTAACATATCTGTAAAATACATTTTTGGTCAAATTATCTTTTTTAGTAAAGGTGTTGCACATATCAAAATATTAATTAAAAGATCTAACAATAAGGCTATTTTGGCACATTTTGCTGTTTTGTACTAAATGTTAGACGTTTTGAACCCTAAAGCCTCAGTCACACCTTAAAGCTGTGGTCACACCTTACCGGATAGCTTGAACGGACGCCGAAACGATGAGAAAAAAGTTTTCCGTTGACAAAATTTGTATCCGTTGGGTGTCCGTTGGTATACTGATCAAATAAAACGAACGGGTAACGAATGCCTAACGGACACTCACAGGATATGCAACGTACGAGAAACTGAAACGTTTCGGACAGAACGGACGTCGAATGTACATCCAACGGACGAGTACCGCATAAAACGGACACCTAACGGAAGCGTACTGGATAAAACGGATGAACAAGATAAGCGGAAAATTAAAAGCCATAATAATAATACATATCTTTCAGGACTAAGCAATGATCTTGCCCACCATCTCCTTTGTTTTCTCCTTCTTCTCCTTTCGACAACTAGTAGGTTTATATTTGCAGCATTTAAGTTCAGTCGGACCTGAATAAGAGCTGCTTGATAGTGAAGACATGCTCTTACTCCAAGATCCATCATGATAAATAGACGTTCATGACACTCAAGAAATCTGACATATCAATAATTGCCATTTCTGATTGACGCGAAATTTTCAATTGGCATATATCCGTTTTACATTCGGTAGGTATCCGTTATCCTTCCGTTCGTGTCCGTGTCCCATCCGTTCATCATCCGTTTTATCCGTTATACGTCCGGTAGAAGTCCGTTGGTGAATTTGTCTACCGGACCTCTAACGGATGTATAACGGGCAAATAACGGATACAAAACGGAAACGAAACGGACGAGTACCGTACAAAACGGACGCCTATCGGACGTTCAACGGACACTTCATCCGTTGGACGTCCGTTCAAAGTTTTGAACATACTCAAAATTTTCCACAGGACAGAACGGACGTCGACGGATAAAACGGACGCTAAACGGACATGAAACAGATATGGACGGACGTCTAACGGATAAGAACGGACGTCTAACGGACATAAACGGATTGAAAAAAAGTTATCCGTTCGGCATCCGTTCGAGCTATCCGCTAAGGTGTGACCAAGGCTTAACGGATAGCTCGAACGGATAACTTTTTTTTCAATCCGTTCATGTCCGTTCTTATCCGTTAGACGTCCGTCCATATCCGTTTCATGTCCGTTTAGCGTCCGTTTTATCCGTCGACGTCCGTTCTGTCCGGTGGAAAATTTTGAGCATGTTCAAAACTTTGAACGGACGTCCAATGGATGAAGTGTCCGTTAAACGTCTGGTAGGCGTCCGTTTTGTACGGTACTCGTCCGTTTCGTTTCCGTTTTGTATCCGTTACTTGTCCGTTATACATCCGTTAGAGGTCCGGTAGACAAATTCACCAACGGACTTCTACCGGACGTATAACGGATAAAACGGACGATGAACGGATGGGAAACGGACATGAACGAAAGGATAACGGATACCTACCGAATGTAAAACGCATAAATGCCAATTGAAAATTTCGCGTCACTCAGAAATGACAATTATTGATATATAAGATTTCTTGAGTGTCATGAACGTCTATTTATCATGATGGATCTTGGAATAAGAGCATGTCTTCACTATCAAGCAGCTCTTATTCAGGTCCGACTGAACTTAAATGCTGCAAATATAAACCTACTAGTTGTCGAAAGGAGAAGAAGGAGAAAACAAAGGAGATGGTGGGCAAGATCATTGCTTAGTCCTGAAAGATATGTATTATTATTAGGGATGTCAACTCGGTGAAGATTTTCCATTCGAGTACTCGTTGGATTTACCGAGCGATACTCGAGTACTCGCTCGGAAAAACATATGCAAAATGGAAGCACAAAGATGAAAGAAGCAAATACTCACCACAATATTGTAATAATAATATAAATGTTATTAAATTCAAACAAGTATGTTCAACCCGAAATTGTGTTGAGCTTAAGAAACTTTTATTAAATCTATTTCTGTGAAAGTCTAACCTCCTGGTTAAAAACAACTACTAGTATATGGTT